CCCCCCTCCCTCATGAACCCTTGATAATTTATAGATTATTATTTTGTTATATCTTACACGGTCTGATGTCTCCCTTCATCCACTTTTCTATTGTCCATCCCCCAGGGAGGAGGTTATATGTAGATCCCTGTAATTGGTTCCCCCTTTCTACTCCACGCTCCTGGTATCGCCACTCTCACCACTGGTCCTGAAGGGATAATCTGTCCTAGATTCCCTGTGTTTCCAGTTCCTATTTGTACCAGTGTACATCATCCATTCTAGCCATATTTGTAAGGTAGAATTGGGATCATGATAGTGGGGGTGGGAGGGGGAAGTATTTAGGAACTAGAGGAAAGTTGTATGTTTCATTGTTGCTACACTGCACCCTGACTGGCTTGTGTCCTCTCTGTGACCCTTCTGTAAGGGGCTGTCCAGTTGCTTACAGATAGGCTCTGGGTCCCCACTCCACACTCCCCCTCATTCACAATGATATGATTTTTTTTTTTTATTTGATGCCTGATACTTCATCCCTTTGACACCTTGTGATCACACAGCATGTGGGCTTTGTTGCTTCTGAGCTAGATGGCTGCTTGTTTATCTTCCAGCCTTTAAGACCCCACATGCTGTATCTTTTGATAGCCAGGCACCATCAGCTTTCTTCACCAGTTTGGTTATGCACCCGCTCTTGTCTTCAACGATTGTGTCAGGAAGATGAGCATTATGGAATGCCAGTTTAATAGAACAATGTATTCTTGCATTGAGGGAGTACTTGAGTTGAGGACCAATGTTCAGCTGCTACCTTAATACTAAACCTATACATATATGGACATAGAACTATTTCCAAATCCTCCTATCTAAATATATTTACATATGCACATGCCTTTATTTATACCTCTAGAAATGCCCTGTGCCTCCTAGTTCTTTCCTCTATTTCCTTTGACTTTACTCTTGTCCCACTATCATGCTCAGCCTTCATTTGGGTTTCAGTAATTCCTCTCGGTTACATTACCCTTGATCACACCCTACCAGGCCTCCTACACCCTCCTCACCACCGATTTGGATCACTTCTTGTTCCCTTGTCCCTGGGTTTGTCAACACCACTTCTTTTGCCCTCACCTCCCCTTCTTCCATGTCCCCCTGGAACTGTCAGTCCCGTTGTTTCTTCCTGCAGATTGTTCATCCAGCCTATCTTATTTAGATAGGCCCGTGGAGATAATAACATGCACAAAAACAAGACAGAGCAAAACCAACCAACAAAAGAAAACAAAACAAAACAACAACAACAAAAAGTCAATGACAAATGAAACAAAACAAAAAAACACAACAGCAAAAAAGAAAAGCTTGTAGTTAGTTCAAGGACTGTTTGTTGTTCTTTAGGAATGTTTTCCAGTGGAGTCTGATGGGGTGCCAAGCCCTGGCCCCAGAGTCTACTTTTGGTATTCCCTGAGGACTTCATTGCTCTGTTCCCCTTGCTGTTCTGTTGCACCCCCTCAGTGTTTTGCCTCTGTGTGGTGGGATCAGATCGGGCACAATTCCCACACTGTGTCTCCACTGGTGTTCCCTGTAGGTCAGTGAGGGATGTCGTGTCTCATAGTGAGGCCGGCGACAATGTCCTCTCTGTGGATTGTCTCCCATGAGTGAGAAACTCGTCATCAAGACTTGGAGGGCTAGGATGTTCTTCATTCTCTTTTTCTCCCCCTTCATCTGTTCCCATGTGCTCTGATCAGACATGTCACACTCCCTGAGCTGCAGTTTCAGTGCTGTTCTCTGAAATAAATTCTTCTGGGGGACGGAGCAGGTTTCCACGTATTTGGGATTGGGGCCACCCCTCAGACCTCTCCACTGGTTCCCCACAATCCCCACTTTTAACCTACACCAAAATCCCTTATCCCCACACCATGCTAGCAACATTAATAAACTACTGACAATTTCCTGGGTGAAAACCACTAAAGGTGAGAGAAGCAGATATAAAACAACCAAGTCCACAGGGGATATTTGATCATCATAGCTGAATTTAGACAGATGGGCCTTTTTTATTTTTTTGAACTGTTGCTAGACAAGTGAAGTCACCAGTTATGAGAGCGATACTGTTATGCAGAGAAGCCCATTTTTGAACTCATACATCTTCTGGAAAATCTACATAAATTGGATAAACACTGTATATTCTACATCCTATTTTGATGAATAGCTACTGGGGTTTTAAAAGCTTGAGAACTGTCATCTAAGATATTACTATTAGTCTTTTCCTGTTTAGAATTAAGAAGGGTGAAGAAAACAAAAGACCAGAGTAACCTTTAGTCCAAAGGATTGATGAACCACAGAAACCAAAGCCTCCATGACCCTGACACCAGAAGGATGGAGAGTGCCCATTACCACTAGTCTATATCACTGCTGACTACTCTGAAAGGGATCACAATAGAAGGTTTGGACCGAGTAGGTAAACACTGTTAAATTCAAAATCCTGAAAGAGAGCAGAATTACTGAACTGATAAATACTGCTAGAGCCCTTGAGCCTGTGGCCCTTAGATATTCTTCAGACCTGTAACTGAACCCACTTTTGAGGATCATCTTTTAGCCAAACAGGCTATAAAGTTAAGGCTAACAAGTGAGGAGTGTGATCCTCAAAAGAGTAAACTATATAAAAACCAAATGATAGCATTTTTCCAAAAGAACGTGAAAAAGGCAGGAAGGAGCAGGAAAGTAGGACAAATGGCAATGGAAAACCCAGGCAGATTTGGGAAGAATGCTGTTAAAAGGTCACAAAATAAAGTGTGTAAGTTGTTGACTAAGAGACTAGTTTGCTCTGTAAAGTTTGGCCAAAACCATAGTAAAATATTGAAAACTACTATAACTCTATGAAAAGATGTGTACTTGATCACAATCTTGCATTTCAACCCATGCTTGTATTCTTGCAGTTGAAACCAGGAAGGACGATAGCAGAAACAATCTAATTGTACCGAGAGCCCATGCTACAGCACACAGCACAAAAGGATGGCGAAATATGATGTAGCCACATCATATTCATCACTGTATCACAGACACTTAAAAAATAACAAAACCATGGAGCATCTTTTAGTGATTTTCTGAAGGAGGATGATTTAAAACCCTTAGCTTTAAACTCTCTTTCCAATCTGCATGACCACACTTTATCATGGTGGATAAGTTCCTTACTCTCCATTTCCCCAACACACAGGGAAAAGCCCCTTTCTCATAGAAAAAGAATTGTGAAGCCAGAAAATGTTAGTGTCTGTAGGATTTTGAAAGGAGTTTCAAATTCTAAAAAATATTGGGGGTAGGTGCCTTTGTGTGTACTGTTAAACTGATTTATAGTAATAAATACCTGTAAGAAGTTTCTCTGCTATTTTGGCTGCATATATTCTGTATCCTTTCATTATTGTAAGCTCCATTAAGACAGCATTATTATGAAATCTTTCCAGGAGCTGATTGATACATCTTTCTACTGTGCATTGTGGATTCAAACTGCTGACCCTCTAATTCGCATCCAAGTGCTTACCCACTGTACCAGCTGGGCTCCTTAAGACAGCATTATTAACATTTCAGTCTTCTTCACAGTTTTCTCCATGTGTCTGTGTTACCTAAAGATCTTGTTCCCTTTTCCATTTCCCTTTTTCTGTATCTTACTTCTTCAGCTTGAAGACTCGCCTTAAGAGCCGCTGCTCTCTTTATACTATTCACGTGGGGGCAGTGATGGCTTGTGGCCAAATTAACTTCTTCCTTACAGAAGACTTGGATTTGATTACTAGTCAATGTACCTCATGTGAATGCACTGCACATCAGTCTGTAGATGCTTCTGTGTTGCTATGATGCTGAGTAGATTTCAGTGGAACTTCCAACCTAGGAAGAAAGGTCTGGTGGGCTATGTGTGTGTGTGGGGGAAGCATTCAATGAAAATTTCATGTATCATAAGAGTATCATCCTCAACCAATCATAAGTATGGTGCAGACCAAGTAGCATTTGATTCATCTTAACTCAGTACCTGGTTTTTGTTGTTTGCTCAGTAATTGAATAAATAAGTGTCAGGTCCTTATTACCATAAAGTAACGAATTATATTATTAAGATTAGTGATATCCTGAAAGTACTTGTTATAAAACTCCTGAGGAAAACTCACATTTAGAATCTTTATATATGTAGCATAAAAATATGTACATTATGTGCAAATGATGTGAACACTTTTAAAGTAATGCATGTTTCAGGCTGAAAGTACACATGTGAAAAAATTGCCTCTGTATGGAGAGGTCAATTAGACTAAAGACTACTCATTTTTCTCCAGTTGAGACCATGCACCACTCATTCAACAGGTTATTAACAGGTATTAAATAATAAAACAATTTCTTGGGAAATACTGGGAAAATCCTCTATTTATGAAATCTAGCATTGAAAATAAATGCATCTCACAATTCAGTGATCCAAGTGTCCATCTTGATTTTTTTTATCTTGCTGTTTATTTATTTTCCCCTCTCCTTATTTGCTTGATTTTCAGCTCCTGCTGTGATATGACCCTTGATTTCTACAAATGCCAGTTACCACATAACACAGTACTTGGCACATAGGATTGGTTTGATGATGCTCCCTGCAACAGGTATGTGAAACCTACATCATATACTTGCCTCTTTTTGGCATCATAATTACGGGACCATATAGATGTATTTTTAAACTGGGAATGAAATTTGTTCTAAGGGATTAAATTCATGTGCCTGCCATTTTTCTCTTCTAATATCAATTGTGATGCTCTGGTAGCTTGTGTTTTGTTATGATACTGGGAGCTATGTCACTGATATTGCAAATACCAGCAGGATTGCTAAAAATGAACAGGTTTCAACAAAGCTGCCAGTTAAAGCGAAGATTCATAATAAAGAATAGGTTGTCCACTTCAGAGAATTAGCCACTGAAAACATTATGGCTAGAAACAGATCATTGACAGATACTGAAAGCCTCTTGAATAGCAACAGAACATTGTCAGTGATAGTGCCAAAGATGAGATGCTCAGGTCAGAAGGCACTCCAGATATAACTGATGGAGAGCTACTATCTCAAAACAGAGTTGACCATTCTGACATGAATGGAGGGAAGCCTCCTGGAATAAAACCTTTGCTGATGGTGCATGGATCAAACCGAGAAGAAATAACTCTAAACATCTATTAATAACTGAAACTTTCAATGAATGAAGTATGAATCTAAGAAAAGTGGACATTGTCAAAAATTATTTGGAAAACATGAGAACTGTATATTAGGCCTTAATGAGCTGAAATGGACTGGTATTGATTATTTTGAACCAGAAAATCATATGATTTACTCTGCTGGAAATGACAGATTCAAGGGACATGATGGTGCATTTATAGTGAAAAAGTACATATAAAGCTATATATTGAAGTACAATGCTGTCTGGAACAGGATAACATCTATCTGTATATAAAGAAATCCAATCAATACAATTATTAATCAAACTTATATGCCAACTACTTAACGTAAAGATGAACCAATTAAAGATTTATACAAATGTCTTCAGTCTGGAATTGATTAAACACTCAACCCAGACTCATTGATAATCATTGGTGATTGGAAAGCAAAAGTTGGAAACAAATAGGAAGGAACAGTTGTTGAAAATATGGAAACAAAGCTGGAGATAGCATGTTAGCATTTTGCAAGGTCAATGATTTTTTCATCATAAATATACTTTTTCCACAACACAAAAGGTTTTTCCACAACACAAAAAGTACACATGGACTTCTCCAGGTGGAGTCCACAGAAATAAAATTAACTACATCTGTGCAAACAGACAATTGAGAAGTTCAATATCAAAAGCAAAAACGAGGCCAGAGATAGACTCCCCATTGATTGCTAATATTTAAGTTCAGGTTGAAGATGAAGCAAATTAAAACAAATCCATGAAAGCCAAAAAGTACAACATTGAGTATATCCCACCTGAATTTCAAGAACATCTCAAGACATATTTAACAAATTGAACACTAATGACAGACAGCCTGCTTAGCTGTGTTAGAACATAAAGAACATCATAAATGAAGAAAGAACATCATAAGAAAAGATTACTAAGACAGGAAAGAAAGAAAAGATATCATAAAGAACTCTTAATGTTACTTTTAACCATAGAGCAGCTAAGGAAATGGAAAAAAATATTCAAGTCATACAACTGAACACAAAACTTCAAAAAGCTGCTGAGAAGACAAAATAAAATATTTGAATGAAATGTGCAAAGACCTGGAATTAGAATACCAAAAAATAAGGTAGACAATTGGCAATATCTTAAGCTTAAATAACTTAAGAAAAAGATCTGCAGAAGTCAAATGTATGAAATAGAATTCATACTGTAATATTTATAAATGTAGCTTTTATATACTAACAAAAATATGTTTTTTTTTCCTTTTCAAAAATTAGTCCATTCTTAGATGAAACTGTGTAGTAAATTAGGGGCTACATGACTACTCAAATGCATTAACTAATGATAAGTTTAGAATATTATTACAGTAAGTGCCAATACCCCCCTCTTTAGTTATGAGCTTGGAAAATTAAGGCACTACCTTGTAAATGTGCTATTATGAAATTCCAATAAGAAAGCAGGGAGGGAAATTATTCTTGCATTGAGGGAGTACTCGAGTGGAGGCCCAATGTCTTTCTGCTACCTTAATACTAAACCTATAAATATAGGCACATAGATCTATTTCCCCATCCTCATATAAGTATATTTGCATATGTACATGTCTTTATCTAGACCTCTATAAATGCCCTTTGCCTCCCAGCTCTTTCCTCTATTTCCATTGATTTTCCTCCTGTCTCACTATCATGATCAATCCCCACCAGGATTTCAGCACTTCCTCTTTGTTACATTCCCCTTGATCATGCCCTACCAGGTCTCCCACACCCACCTCCGCACCAATTTGGATCGCTTGTTGTTCCCTTGTCCCTGGGTTT